TACAAGCCAACGAGCTTTCTCCGCCTGTAAACTGGACATTGGACATTGGACATTGGACGGCGCTGGTGCGAGGGGGGGGGACAGCGTCCGAGCGAGCCTCTCGGACTTTGACGGTGAATGAACGAACGGAGAGGAGGTTTTCTATCCAGTCGCATGTGGGTTTGGGGATTCTTGCTTTTCTAAGGTTGAAGCTCAATAGTCGCTGGTTCAAGGAGTCAAAGGCTTTTTGGAAATCTAAATAACATACTTCGACCTGAAGGCCTCTGTCCATTCTGCCCGTGATAACGTCCAGGAAGATGAGAATATTCGAGAGGCAGGATTTGCCCTTTAAAAATCCGTGCTGCGCGTTTCCAAAGAAGCCTTTGTTGAATAGAAAGAAGAATATCTTGTCTCGCAAGATGCGCTCAAGCGTTTTAGTTGTCATACTGTTTAGGCTAATAGGTCTGTAAATTGATATACTGGACCTATCTCCATCTTTGAAAAGGGAATTATAGTTGCCTTCTTCGAGTCCGAAAGTATGATGCCCAGGTAAAGAGGCATATTGAATAAGGACTCCAGTTTGAGGCTTAGTAAGGAGCTAAGGTGTCTGATGATGGAAGGACGGACATCATCAGGACCGGTGGCTTTGTTTGGATTGAGGTTAGGCAAGGGCCTATCTACGTCCTCTGGGGTAATAATATTAATAATAAGTGTATATTTCACGGAGCCCCGTGAGGCATGCATAGGCATGATCAAATGTACAACATAATCCTCCATACAAGAGAGGCCCAAAATGGAGGGGAAAAATTGAAGGTCGCAGTGAACATAATTACAAATGGAACACAAAGTGGACAGGTTATCAGAGAATAAGGTTCGAGATGGCAGAATGCTCCAAAAGAGCAAGTCGGTGGAAGTAGGACGAGATACAAGAATCGTTATACCGGATGAATGATGAGATAATTGGAAATACGACAATCAGTGAGTAAAATAACAAGAGGCAGCATGCCGATCGTTGGACGGGAATGGACGGAAGTGGGGGTCACTCAGAGTGTGCATGGTGGGAAAGCAGCCCAGTTATTGCAAGATTTGGTTATATCTTGCTTTTGGTTTTTCAGTTATACTCCGAATAAATTCATCACTGGATATCGTGCCAATATAAAGGAAGACGTCTTTTTTTCTTACAGCAGCAGATCTCTGGAAAGGAAGAAAAAACGCAAAACATTCTAGGTTGTAACCTAGTTGATGAGGGAGTGGGAGGGAACGAAGCATGCAAGTTATCGTGCAATTAAATCCAAGAAGTTCCGGACAGTCAAGTGGACGACTACAATTAGTATCTATAAACGAGTTACCAAATATTGCCAATAGACAGACTATGAAATGGCAAAAAAGGCGGACTGAATAAATCCAATTTATTTGTTTAGAAAATGATCACAGCTGCCTGGTTTGCATGTGCCACGAAGTTTAGTCAAATGACTCGAGCGATGAATGAAGACCTCAGGCATATCATAGACGTGGTTGTTGGTGTGATGATATAGGTTACTGTCGGTTCTGTGCACGCTCAAGAAGTACGACAGAAAGGCGTTCGCGATTTGCTCATCCGTGGTGAGAAGGTTGCCTTGCACTCGTATTACGTTGCCGATCTCTTTCCTTGTGGAAGACCTTGCTTGTACGTACCCGAAATAACGTTTTAAATTCAGCTTAGTGTCTCTCCCGATACAAAGTTCGTGTGCCTGTCTAACCTTCCTGGAGATGTTGACCGCTTTGTCTCTCAGGAGTTTGTATCTTCTATATGAGGCGAAACTCTTAAGATTGATGTAAGTATTGCAAGCTAACCGTTTCTTTTCCAGGGTTTTGCGGATCCTGGGTTTCCACTACCGCTTGTTGCTCCGCGGGTTTTTTACCCCAATTGGGACGTGCTTCTCTGTTAGGATAGTTATTTTCCTAAGCAAGAGAGCCCATCTATCCTCTACGTTACCAATGCTGCACCAGTCCAATTCCCTTGCGCTGTCAAAGAGTTCTTCTGCCTTGACAGCATGGAAACGCCGGGTTCTCAGCTTAGGCCTTGGGGATGCCATTTGTCTAAAGAGAACGTGTACCAAGTAATGGTCACTTTTTCCTAGAGGTACTCTCAAGGACACTTCGGTTACCTCTGCCGGATTTCTGGAAAAGATCAGATCCAGAGTAGAGGGCTGTTGTCCTGGTCTAACTCTTATAAGTGTGGTCACGTGTTGAGTTAGAGACAGGTAGCATAAGGTTTGCAGCAAATGTTTGTCGAAGGGATTCCGACTGGCAGTGAGGTCTAGCCAGCTTATGTTTGGAGCAATAAAGTCACCGAGAATTACCAATTGGTGTTCTGTTCGAGAAGCATTTCTTACCGCTTAAAGAAGTTGTAAGTCTTCTGTGCTGGATGCGCTTGGACTGCAGTAGATTCCTACCGTTAAAGTTGGCGGGTTGAGATGGAGTATACTACATGCTGTGGTCTGGATACGCAGCGTATTTTCTACACATTGGGTTCGGACCTGGCGGATCTCTCTGCTGACGAGTATGAGACATCTCCTGCCGGGGGCTCCGCTTCTGTACGCTTGGAATCCATTTCTCCAATCTCTGATTGGAGTACAATCCTGAAGCCAAGTTTTGGTGAGGATACACTGGTCGATGGAGCGGAGTAGGTCGGCGATCTCGTCTCTCTTGTTGAGGAGACTGCAGACGTTGACTAGTGCACCTTTGATTGGCTGTGGCCCTTGAAGTTGGTTTGGAGAGTTTATGACTACCTCGGAATGACCTTCCAAAGAGTTCCCATGTTTCTTGATCGGGGTTAGCTCAGTTCGCACGCTGAACCGGCTCTTTTGGTGTTGGGGTTGACCTGGAGAGGCTGCGAGTTGAATCAGGTCCGCTGTCTGGCCCACGGTTGTCTGTACGCAGACAGTTGATTCTGATCTGTAATCGAGAAGGATTTGCTGTGACCTCTGGTACGGGCGTCTTTGACAAGGCGAAGTTAGGACTGATGGATATATTGTCGATTGCTGCTGCAATCACCTTTGCTTCATAGAGGACAGAATCCCGATCTTTAGAGGAGTGGAATTCCACGAGCAGGGGACGCAGTGCTATGGCGCAACTGTTTTCTGGGGGGTCCATTTACCCACTCTATGTGCTCACCTCTACTGCAGGCAAAGATGGCAGCCCGCATTCCTCAAAACACTGCAAATGAGATTTGTTTCCGCTTTGAGCTTTTGGGAGGTTACACGAATGTGTGGCTCTAGGGCTCTAAACAGAATGTTCCTTGTCCGGCCCAATGTGTGTTCGTAGGTAGACTGAAATATTTTTACTTCGGTTGTTTGCTTCCGTAACTTGACAGAGAGTTTTTCCAATTGGCTTCCGTGCTGCGAAATGCAAGTAAGAGCCATTGTTATTGGAGCTTGGTCCTCGGGGTCTTGTGCACTTGGGCTTTACGGCAGGTTAGATAATTCCAGGCCTTCTGCCATGGAGAGATTGCTATAGACGGGTTCAATGGCGAGCTATTGAGTTTCTCTTGTCTTGGATTTGGGTGAGCTGTACAGTGTTTTGTTGCTGACCTTTTTTCTCTGTAGTTGGGCCTATGGTAGCCTTGTTTGTGAATTGCGGCCTCAGCTGGTTCTTGGTTTCGTTAGGGATTACCTGTCCCAGCTTTTTTAAACGTTGTTTACGCACTATCGTCACTCAGGGACTGTTGTGTAGTGAATTCGGGTGAGTGATTGGTTCACCCTGTAGGATCTGTTCTACCAGCGACATTTTCTGGAAGACGTGTTTTGGCGCAAAGTGTATCATCGTTTTCTGCTCCTTCCTCGGAGTTGGTTCTTGCGTGGTTCGTTTTGAGTAATTTTTGTATTGTCTCCACAGCGGTACGGTTGTTATGGACAACTGTGTGTGAGCCACGAGGGCTGGCTATGGTCCCCATTCATTTGGTGATGACACTGGTTTCAACTGCTTGCGACAGTGAGCTTTTGGGGGCTCACAATAGGAGTCTTTGGTGTCACATGATCTAGTGGTTCCTACGGGAGTAATAAAGTGGCCTTTTGGGCAAGGAATGTGGTCTGAGTAACACTGTTTGCTTGGTCTGGTGGTGACTTGAGCGCGGTGGAGCGCATAACGATCTCACACCACTACCGTTAGACGAGGGGTTCTAGTTGTCTTTTAGTGCAGTTTTAGCGATCTCTTTGCAGCTTTTGAAGATCCACGGAAGATCCTCAAGTGTACTATAGAGCCTATAGAGTGCGTTTGAGAGTTGTGAGCAAGTTTTATGCATCCATTGCTCGCAAATAGTACATTCTATACCCGATACAACGCGCCTCCTACATGAGACTTTGAGCCATGGGAGTGAAACACGCGGTATAGTCCTACTACTAACGGTAAATAAATAAGTTCAAAATATGAGTTAAAACTCTAATAGGGACAATAATATGATGTAAAACGATCATACGCACAAGAAAAGCAAAAGCGTTAGGCCTAACACGGAGAAAGTTTCGCGTGAAAGGACAAAAGGTAAGCTCAAGAGTAGGGATTTTAAACTTCTACTAAACGCGGTAACAAGTGGAAACCAGGTCTAATTCTATCAAGAAACACTTCAAAATTTTAAACCGCGCGAATTTTCACGTCAGTCAGTTTGCACAGAACAGGAGATGGCCACGGCCAATCGCGCGTCCAGAGTTCCTTCGTGTTGGCCCCTACCACTGCGAGTGTTCTACATTGTATTTCTATACGTTTTCTTTTCGTCCAATTCGTCTCCGCCTCTTTAAGGGAAGAGAAGAGGAAAAAAGAATATCTTCTCCCCTTGTTCAGGCGAGACACCTCACATTTGGAAGCGTTCCCCTGTTGGGGTGGCTAGTGAATGAGAAAGCTTACAACTTCTTCCAGACCTTAACCTATGCACTTACTTCGGGAAATAAGTTCAATCAGCGCTTATCGGCTCCTTACTGAAAGCATGCACACTCTCTAGCTCCACCAGTACCTGTGGTAACTTATTTCATAAGTTGACTACCCTGTTGCTGAAGACGTTTGAACACACCGCTAGAAAATGAACCTGGGTAAGAAAAGCACGCTCACCGTCACGCTGCACATGAACGAGCCAAATGTGAGCGC